TTTCCACAAGCCCACAGTTAATATCTGATATGTCTTGGCATCTTTTACATGTCTTTACATAATTGTTTGCACACCATGGGAACTTGATAAATGTTTGATGTCCTCACACAATGAACACACAAGCTAGAATTTTTCATGAGAATACTTGATTAGAGAATTTGATGGACTCAGCTTTTTATAACTGGTCGCTTACACTGAATAAGGGATCAGAATTGAAGAGGAATATCTCAGATAGTGAAGGAGAAAGGCAGCTGCATGGATGGCATTGCTTTTCTGATCTCTGATGCTATGTAACATATTCATGGGTTGGTCATTATCTTCCAGGCTAAAAGACAAAGTTTTGAATCCTGAAGTGTGGTTTCTTAAGTGATGTCAGCCAGTTTAGTTTTCAGGTCTACAAACCTCAAAGTGTGCACAAGCAAGTGGCATCATGTTGCCAGAGGTATGGCATCCTGTTCTTCCTTAAAACCCCTTCAGGTTGAATGATATGTTATGTGGGAGAAAATTTAAGACCAAAATCTGTGTCAAGTATTTTTCCAATTTTCCAGTTGGTGTCATGGGCTCCTTACACCGAGGTGCTCCCTAGAACCCATTTTCCTTATTAGCAGTCTAGCAACTGCAGTGGATTTCAAATCAGACATCATGAATGACTGGCATTTTGTGGTATCACTGTTTTATCAAAGTAATATGTTACAAATTATACTACTATTTCACCCGACAGTGGTTTGAGGCAGTGGCTAGATTAAAAAGAATGGAGCAGGATACTAACTTTCCATATTAAATCAGAATTTTTAGTCTTAGGCATTTAATACATAAGGTTGTAGGAGATATGAGATTGATAGGGGAGAAAAGATTCTCCAGGAATTTGATTTGTTTTCAATATCTTGTGCTTAAAACACAAATACTCTCAGAAACCAACATTAAAAAGTATAAAAGTGAGCCAGTGATGTCTGAGTAATGTAATTCTTATATGCTATAAACTAGCCAATCATTAGTCATGTTTTTACAAATGAGAGTCATGACCTGAAAGTTAATTATTGTTCTCGTGTGATTCTATTATCTTCACACTTATTCAGCCAATATGTGACAAGCTTGACATAGAGTGAGCAGTTGCTTATTTCTCAATGCAGCTGGCAAGGCAAACATGCAGTGGAGTTTCAAGCAGGTGCAGTCCTGTGGTTGGGAGTTTCTAATGTGCAGTCACAATGCCACCCAGTGGCTACATAGGGATTATCTTTGAACACAGGATTTTCTTCCATCAACAAATGTGCACTTACTTGGACATCTTACTGATTCCAAAAGCCACTTGTTGGTTAAGAGATTCGATGATTTTATCTTTCTTTTTAATCTGCATCTGGTTTTCTTGCCACCACAAAGTCACTGTTTTTAGTTGTCTTTTGAAATCCTGATTAATGAAAAATCTTATTTCAACGAATTTTGTTCAAGTCTTCAGAAAGTTAAAGAAAACAATTGGAGTCTTCATCACAAACTCTCTCTAACGCGCCTCAGATCGAGGGGCAGAAGTACTCACTTCACACTGGCAGTGCAGCTCACAAAGCCGCCGCCGTCGTCCAGCAAGCTCCTCCTCGGTTCCCCCACGCTCGGCAGTGACGTTGTTGGCTGAGCCCTATTGAGCAAACGAAATACGAATGCTTCAGTTTCCTCTCCAAAAAAGCAGTTAGGGGGCTTCCACCGCGGGGGGCTCGGTGCTAAAGAACCCACCTACCAACGTAGGTGCCGCGGGTTCAGTCCCTCTCCTGGAAGACCCTACACACGGTGGAGCAGCTAAGCCGCTGTGCCAACTGCGGAGCCTGCGCTCCACAGCCAGAGAAGCCGCCGCAGGGAGAAGCACGCATCCGCAACCGGAGAGCAGCCCCCACCTGCCACAACTACAGAGAAATCCACGCAGCAATGAAGACCCAGCACCACAAAATAAATAAGTAACTTAAAAAAAAAAGCACTTAATGTGACAGTTATTTAAAGGAAAAGCACTACTATTTTTGTTATTTAGTGAGTATTTAAGTTGCTAACTCATGCATTATAGCTTTCAATGCAAACATCATTCTCTGATTAATTTAAATAAATCTGCCTCTCTCCAATTACAGCACTCACTGAGCAATGCCAGAGTTACTACCAGCAGTCTACTGCTGCTACTACTGGATAATGTTATCTGCAAGATCACCATTTTTCAAGTTTCTTTCGTAATGCTTTTGTTGTCACAAGATCATATGAACTAGGTACTCGATATTCCTGTTTTAGAGATGGTAAAACTGGGTAACTTGCCCAAGGTCACACAGTTAAGTGAAAGAGCCAGAATTCTAACTCAGGCAATCTTGATTGCTCAAGTACCTAATTATTACCTTAGAAAACATCACCTTAGATTAATGTTTAATTTCTCCACTGGATTATAAACACTATCATCATGGGGACCATATCTTGGCATACCTCTTGACACAACGTAGGTGCTAAGTGCCTTTTAAGTAAATGAGTGAATAAACATTTTTCAAAATGTATGTGACATTTTGATTCTGTCTTTGAGTTCTCATAGCTGTTGAATGAAAACTAAAGACCCCACATTTAAACTTTAGTGTGACATCCAAAGCCTAGAATATGTCATTTCAGTTAAACTTTATGTATTTTAATTGGAAAGGAGACAGAAAGATATGACAAGCATACTAATGTACTATCAGTCAGAGAATCATTTGCACTGTTTCCTTAGACAATCAATATTATTAATATTATATACTATATATTATTATACTTAAACCCTGGAAAAGGTTATCATAAAATTATCACAGTATAAAATTCTCATGGGTAGTAAATCCTGTGGTTTTTCAAAAAAAAAAAAAAAGCTTTCACAGTTTTGTCTAACTAAGTGCTCTGTTGAGCACATAGAATATGTTAATGTGCACCTTCATATATGTATGTCATCCCCAGTACTGACTACTAACAGGAAAGGAACCCAAAAAAGTGCTGTTATTAATATTTTTGTAGATATTTCATTGTAACAGCCAAGTTTAATTATCTAAAAAATGAAAGTAGCTTTGTTTTATAAAGCTATTTTCCTAATGAAATTTAATCCAATGAGATTATGCTAAGGTATTTTTTCTTCCCTTTATCTGAAAACTCTTTATAAGGTATGCATCTGTAATCAACTCTGCCCAATACTTAAAACCAGGAAATGGTCTGAGGACTAAAGTGAAGAGTTTCTGGTTCCTAGAGTTCTTTTTTACGTCGGCCGTCCCTCCGTCTCTCCTTTCCTACTTCTTCTTTCTCCTCACACACACAACATAAAACACTAGGTTAATAAGATGTTCAAAGAGTCATGGTGAGAAAATGGTTACCAATTATTCTGGAAGAAGGAAGGCAGGGCTGTACCCTCTCCAATCAGGCTTACCTGCTCTATCATGTCCAGAATATGCAATTCATCCAGACTATAGGACTTGTCTTCAGTCGTAGAATCTTCGTGAATATTGCTTGCATCATCTTTCATAAATCTACTGATTGCATACAGATTTGCTTGTTCTTTCTTCAGCTGCTCTTCCTTTCCTATCATACTTGGGCTATAGTGGTGACATAACCAATGTTAACCTCTTATAAGTGTATAGTGTTTTTCATCTAAGCCATTATTTCCCCAATTAATATTGTACTGGTCTCATGAGATGCTTAGATCAGAAAGGTTCAAAGTTTGGACAATGCCGATGCCATGTATTTCTTTTGGAGACTCACAGTGAATTTTAGCATATTTGAGATAGCACTCAATTGAGGTACCTATTCTGTTCATAGTAGTGCTTCTAAGAATTATGAGACCATGGAGTTCATTTTTCAAGTTATAACTATTAACATCAGTTACTTTGAGAAACAATACTTTGGGAAATATTGACAAGCATTTCCGTATCTGCTATATTATTTAATCATTACAGCATTCCTGACAGGCAGGTTGGTTTAATCAACTTCAGTGCTTAGGTCTCATGTACATTTAAATAGAAGGCTCTGAATAGCAACATACATAAAGCAGATTTAAGATGGAGGTTTGTTTTGTTGCAGGGGTTTTTTTTTTTTTTTTTGTAACAAGATTTTATTTAAAAAAAAAACTGTAGTGATAATGAATTTCAGTAACTAGAAACCACTGAGAAAAGAAAGGAAATACTATAAGTACAATGGCAATTAACTCATTTTTATACCTATGTCTAAAATTAAAATGCATACTAGTATCATTTCAGTTGTCCTACTATTTAGTAGCTATGAATTTCCTTCCTAATCTCACTGAATAATAACTAGAAATAGTACTTTTACATATAGCATGATATAAATTTCTTGACTTTATTAGCAAATGGAAAGAAAACAGATGCATTAGTACTTATTTTAGGTCAATAAGATCTAGAAAAAAGGACATATTATGCTTGTAGAATAACTTGTAAAACACTATAGAAGTCATTACAAATCACTGAAGTATTCCAGACTAACTCAAACATTTTGAAAAGTTCAATGAAATAAATTACTTGTTTAGACCACAGTTCCAAAACTCAGTTTTCCATATTACTTCAACAGTTTTTTAAAATTTATATTCTTCCTGAAACCACAACAGATGCAAAAATATGAATTTATACTTTTGAAAAGCTAGAAAAGGTTACTTCTAAATTTTTAAAGTATGATAATAGTATTGTGATAATACAGGAAGATATTCTTCTATTAAAGAGATGCAAACTGAAGCATGTATAGATAAAATTATACAGTTTTGAGACTGAAAACACTCAAAAAATAAATGTGAAGGGAAGAATGAAGCAAATGTGGAAAAACAATGAAAACTGTAAAATCAGAATGATAGGTATACCTACTAATGTAGATATATTGTTATTATTCTCTTTACTTTTGTGTGTTTTGAAAATTTTCATTTAAAACAAAGTTCCCTGGGTGATTTGATGATCATCCAGGTTTGGGTCTAAGGTGTAAGTCAAAATAAGCAAAATGACTGATTATACTGTTTCATTCTTTAATAATTTACATTTATGGTATCTAGACATAAACTTACTTTTTCACTGGTCATAGCAAACACTCTTTTCCAACAACCCAAGAGACAACTCCACACATGGACATCACCAGATGGTCAATAATGAAATCAAACTAATTTTGTTTTTTGCAGCAAAGATGAAGAAGCTCTATACAGTCAGTAAAAACAAGACCTGGAGCTGACTGTGGCTCAGTTCATGAGCTCCTTATTGCCAAATTCAGTCTTAAATTGAAGAAAGTAGGGAAAACCATGAGGCCATTCAGGTATGACCTAAATCATCCCTTATGATTATACAGTGAAAGTGATAGAAAGATTCAAGGGGTTAGATCTGGAGTGCCTAAAGAACTATGAACAGAGGTTTGTTAACACTACCGGAGGCCATGACCAAACCACCCCAAAGAAAACGATATGCAAGAAGACAAAGTGTTGTCTGAGGAGGCTTTCCAAACAGCTGAGGAAAGAAGAGAAGTAAAAAGCAAGGGAGAAAGGGAAAGATGGACTCAACTGCAGAGTTCCAGAGAATAGCAAAGAGAGGTAAGAAGGCCTTCTTAAATGAACAACGCAAAGAAATGGAGGAAAACAATATAATGGGAAAGCCTAGATATCTCTTCAAGAAAATTGGAGATATTAAGTGAAATTTTCATGTAAGGATGGACATGATAAAGGATAGAAATGATAAAGATCTAACAGAGGCAGAAGAGATTAAGAGATGGTGGCAAGAATACACAGAAAAACGACACAAAAAAGGTCCTAATGACCCAGATAACCATGATGGTATGATCACTCACCTAGAGCCAGATATCTAGGAGTGTGAAATCAAGTGGGCTTTAGGAAGCATTACAAGGAACAAAGCTAGTGGAGGTGACATAATTTCAGCTGAGCTATTTAAAATCCTAAAAGATGATGCTGTTAAAATGCTACACTTGATATGTTAGCAAATTTGGAAAGCTTAGTAGTGGCCAGAGGACTGGAAAAGGTTAAGTCTTCATTCCAATCCCAAAGAAGGGCAATGCCAAAGAATGCTCAAATTACTGCACAGTTGTGCTCACTTCACATACCAGCAAGGTTATGCTCACAATCCTTCAAGCTAGGCTTCAGCGTTATGTGAACCGGGAACTACCAGATGCACAAGCTGGATTTCAAAGAGGCAGAGGGGCCAGATTACTGGATCATGGAGAAAGCAAGGGAGTTGAAGAAAAACATTTACTTCTGCTTCATTCACGACGCTAACGTCTTTGACTGTATGGATCACAACAGCTATGGAAAATTCTTAAAGAGATGGGAATATCAGACCACCTTTCCTGTCTCCTGAGAAACCTGTATGCCAAGAATTAAGTTAGAACTGGACATGGAACAACTGACTGATTCAAAATTTGGAAAGGAGTACGTCAAGGCTGTATATCGTCACCCTGCTTATTTAACTTATGTGCAGAGTATATCATGTGAAATGCCAGGCGGGGTGAATGATTACCTGGAATCAAGATTGCCAGGAGAAATACCAGTGACCTCAGATATGCAGATGATACCACCCTAATGGCAGAAAGTGAGAGGAACTAAAGAGCCTCTTGATGAGGGTGAAAGAGAAGAGTGAAAAAGTTGGCTTAAAACTCAACATTCAAAAAAGTAAGATCATTGCATCTGGTTACATCACTTCATGGCAAATAGAAGGGAGGAAAGTGAAAGCAGTGACAGACTTTCTTTTCTTTTTTTTTCAGACTTTATCTTCTTGGGCTCAAAAATCACTGCAGACAGTACAGTGACTGCAGGCATCAAATTAAAAGATGTTCGCTCCTTGGAAGGAAAGTTATGACAATCCTAGACAGCATATTAGAAAGCAGAGACATGAATTTGCTGACAAAGGTCTGTATAGTCAAAGCTGTGGTTTTTCCAGTAGTCATATAAATATGTGAGACTAGAACCATAAAGAAGGCTGAGTGCCGAAGAATTGATGTTTTCAAACCGCGGTGCTGAGGAAGACCATTGATGGTCCCTTGGACTTCAAGATCAATCAGTCAAACCTAAAGAAAATCAACCCTGAATGTTCTTTGGAAGGACTGATGCTGAAGCGGAAGCTCCAATACTTGGGCCCACTTGATGTGAAGAGCCAACTCATTGGCAAAGGTCCAGATGCTGGGAAAGATTAAAGGCAAAAGGAGAAAAGGGCAGCAGAAGATGACATGGTTAGATACCCTCACCAACTCAATGGTCATGAATTTGAGCAAACTCTGGGAGACAGTGAAGGACAGGGAAGCCCGGTGTTCTGCAGTCCACGGGGTCACAAAGAGTCAGACAAGACTTAGTGATTGAACAACAACAACAGATATAACCTTGAAAAGACACACACACACTATCAGTTTAGTGGCTCAACTTGTTGACAGAGAAAGTGAAAACCCATCTTGGATGATAAACTATTAATGTACCAAGTGGATCATGTCCATTATCAATGAGAAAATATCAACTGCAAGATGCTTTAAAGCTAACAAAGTATGTTCTTATTACCATTTTAAAGATAAGTATGTCCTTACAGAGAGTTCTCTATAGCTACTACTTTTCAGTTAACAAAACTTTTGGTGGGTATAATGATCTCTTCATGGAATGTCTCCCCTACTTCCTTCCTCAATTGCACTGTCATTAATCATGTTGATGGAGAATATAGCTCACAATTATCTTTAGACATTAAAAGGTGTCCAGTAAAGGTTCAAAATTCACAGTTAACAACTGCAATTATAAAAAAAGAAACAAAACATCTTAGGTTAATTAAACAAAGCAAACTACATAAAACTGTTTTTATAAAAGGGGTTACTGAGACAAAAGATAACGCGTCTTTAAGGTTAAGTTTTATTTTGTCTACATTTGGCTAACTATAATCTAGACTGTATTTTAAAAGATTTTATGCTGGAACCAAATTTAGTCCTTGAATAAAGCAGTTAGCATGGGATGACTCTTGAGTAGCCACACAGAAAAATGGTAAGAGATTATATTCTCCCAAAACAAGTGATAATTTAACTGCCATTTTCAATAAAAAACCCGACAACTTATTACGATTAAAAAACTGTCTTTTCTTCTCTTAAGAATATTACCATATTCTGAGACTATGTACCAAATCAAGGTTGTGTCATACTGGTAAAGCACACTTGAAAGGACTAAGAAAAACTTTAAAATGAAATAAATACTTACACTTGCTCTTCTTTTGATTCCTTATTCTGAAAAATAACATCAAGAATTAGTATTATGTATTAACTATGTTGGTACAGTACAGTGATCTAACGGAACTTAGACATTTCTCAAGTTTTGGGGGGATCCCTGGTGGTTCAAACGTAAAGAATCCGCCTGCAATGCAGGAGACGTGGGTTTGATCCGTGGGTGGGGACGACCCCCTGAAGGAGGGCACGGCACCCCACTCTAGCATGCTTGCCTGGGAAGCCTTGTGGATAGAGGAGCCCAGCAGGCTACAGTCCATGGGGTCACAAGGGCTGGACACAACTTGGTGACTACATCACCACCACCACCAAGCTTCTGACCGCAATCAAAATAAATATATTTTACATTATGACTTAAATGCACTTACACAGCTATTTTTATACACAAGCATAAAACCGAAACATAAGTTCCATGAAACAAACTTTACTCATTATGTGTGTTACGGACTACATGCTTGTGTGCCTCTGCAATTCTTCCATCAAAACCCTAACCCTCAATGTGATGGCAACTGGACGTATGGCCATGGGGAGGTAATTAGGTTTAGATGATGTGAAGCCTTCATGACAGGATCAGTGCCATTATAAGAAGAGATCAGAGAGGTAGCTTGCTTGCTTGTGCATGCTCACTCACTCTCTTTCTTTAACATGTGATAATATAGTAAAAAGGTAGCTGTCTACATGTTAAGAAGAGGGCCTTCACCAGACACTGAATTGGCTAGCACCTTGATCTTGAATTTCTCAGCCTCCAGAACTGTGAAAAACAAAAATCTTGTTTAAGCTATCCAATCTATGGTAGTTTGCTATAGCAGCCTAAACTAAGACAATGCGTGAGGAACTCTAGAATTTTTTTATTCATGCTAACTCTTCCTTTTCTAAAATTATAGCCGTGGCCTACCAAATCGACTTTGTTATCTAACCACTGAGACATGAAACACACACACACAAAAATCACTGATTCAGATAATGGAAATGAGTGTTGAGGCTGAGTTTGTACCTATTGCTATATCTTAGGACAGGGTATATGTAATTCTTATTTATGAAATCTGACACTAATTACATTCTTGAAAAATGCGTTCGTTTTCATTGCGTTCTTGAAAAATCTATGTGTAAAGACAAAGCAGACTGATACTAAAAATCTTACAGGAAAAAAAAATGCTAGGGAGATCACAACTGGGAGGAAAAGTTAAATAGCCCTAAATTTTATTTTCATTAAGATAAAACTATAAAGGCAACCTATTAAATAAAGGTAATATCAGTGACACAACATACTAATTACTCTTATATATCACCCTTCTACTAAGAGTATCAATTACCGTCATGTAAATTACAGTATTAATTTCTACCATCATCTCTTGTTTACAAAAAAATTCTGGTCTCTTTCCCCACAGATTCTATGATAAACTTACTAATTTGTTTTACTTTATTGTCTGCATACCAAGAGGATTTTTGCATTTCACTGTCTGATCAATGTCCAGTGACAATTTGATTCTACAATTTAGAATTATCAACACCTGCCTTGAGTGTACCTGAATAACTGAACTGAAAAGAGCTTTGGTTGTTCATAATGAATACATCTAGTATAATAAGTTCCCCAGCTACCCAAAAGTACATCATTCCTATGAAACCTTTCCAAAGTTGAAATGGTATGTGTTAGTTGTTTAGTTGTGTCTGACTCTTTGCAACCCCAAAGACAGCAGTCCACCAGGCCCCTTTGTCCATGGGATTCTCCAGGCAAGAACACTGGAGTGGGTTGCCATTTCCTTCTCCAAAAGGAACTATACAAGCTGAAGAAATAATTACAGGTGTACCTTAGGTGTAAAGAAGGTTTGGTTCCAGACAACCTCAATAAGATGAATATTGCAATAAAGCAAGTCACACAAATTTCTGGATTTCCTGGTACATATAAAAATTATGTTTATACTATATTGCGGGCAAGTAAGTGTGTGATAATAACATTATGTCTTAAAAAAAGAATGTGTGTAATTTAATTTTAAAATACTTTGTTAGAAATGCTAACCATCATCTAAGTTTTCAGCAAACTGCAATCATTTCTGTGGTAGATGGTCCTGCCTTGATGCTGATGGCTGCTGACTAATCGGGTGGCAGTCGCTGAAAGTGGCAATGGCTATGCTAATTTCTTAAAATAAGACAACAACAAAGTTTGTCACATTGATCGACTCTTTCTTTCACAACTGATTTCTCTGTGGCATGCAATGCTGTTTTAGATCTTTCAAAGCTGGAGTCAGTCCTCTCAAACCCTGCAGTTAAGTTTATGTCATCTTCTAATCATTTGCTGTCATTTCAACAGTACTTACAGAACTATCACCAGGAATAGATTTCATCTCAGGAAACTACTTTCTTTGCTCATCTTTAAGACGCAACTCTTCACCCATTAAAGTTTTATCATGAGATTGTAACAATTCAGTCACATCTTCAAGCTCCACTTCTATTTCTAGTTCTCTTGCTATTTTCACCATATCTGCAATTACTTCCTCAACTGAAGTCTTAAATCCATCAGTGTCATATGAGGGCTGGAATCAGCTTCTTCCAAACTCCTGTTAATGTTGATATTTTTACCTTTTTCCATGAACTATTAACATTTTTAATGGCATCTAGAAAGGTGAATCCTTCCAGAGGTTTTCAAATGACTTTTCCCAAATTCATCAAAAGAATCACTATTTATGGCAACTGAAGCCTCTCAAAATGTATTTCTTAAATAATAAGACTTGAAAGTTGAAATGACTCCTTCATCCACAGGCTGCAGAATGGATGTTGTGTTAGCAGGCATGAAAACAATATTAATATCATTGTAGATTTCCATCAGAGCTCCTGGGTGACCAGATGTACTGTCAACGAGCAGTAATATTTTGAAAGAAATCTTTCCTTCTAAGCAGTCGGTCTCTAGAGTAGGCTTAAAATATTTAGTAAACCATGTTGTAAAGAGATGTGTATCATCCAGGATATGTTGTTCCATTTCTAGAAGACAGAGTTGATTTAGCATAATTCTTTTTGCTAGGATTTTCAGAATGGTAAATGAGCACTGGCTTCTACTTAAAATTACTAGCTACATTAGCCCCCAACAAGAGAGTCAGCCTGTGTCCTGGAGTTTTGAAGACAGGTATTACTTTTCTTCCCTAGCTATGAAAGCCCTAAATGGCATCTTCTTTCAATAGAAGGCTGTTTTGACTATATAGAAGATCTGTTGTTTAGTATAGTCACCTACATTAGTTATATCAGCGAGGTCTTCTGGATAGCTTTCTGCAGCTTCCGCATCAGCACTTGCTGCTTCATCTTAGAATCTGGAGTTATAGAGATGGCTTCTTTCCTTGAACCAACCTCTGCTGGCTCCAAACCTTTCTTCTGCAGTTTCCTCACCTCTCTCAGCTTTTACAGAACTGAAGTGCCTTCCCCCAGATTAGGCTTCAGTTTAACGGAATGTTGTGGCTGATTTAATATTCTATCCAGATCACTAAAATTTTCTCTATATCAGCAATAAGGCTTTCACTTTCTTATCATCCCTTGTTCACTGGAGTAGCACTTCTAATTTCCTTCAAGTACTTTTCCTTTGCATTCACAGCTTGGCTAAGTGTTTGGCACAAGAGGCCTAGCTTTCAGCCTATCACAGCTTTCAATATAACTTCCTCACTAAGCTTAATAATTTCTAGCTTTTGATTTGCAGTGAGAGACCTGCAACTCTTCCTTTCATTAGAACACTTAGAGGCTATTGCAAGGTTATTAATTGCTCTATTTCAACAACTGCTGCATCTCAGGGAACAGGAAAACCCAAGGAGAGGGACAGAGATGAGGGAATAGCTGGTTGGTGAGTGAAAGTTGCTCAGTCATGTCCGACTCTTTGTGACCCCATGGACTGTATAGTCCATGCAATTCTCCAGGCCAGAATACTGGAGTGGGTAGCTCTTCCCTTCTCCAGGGGATCGTCCCAACCCAGGGACTGAACCCAGGTTTCCTACATTGCAGGTGGATTCTTTACCAGCTGAGCCACCAGGGGAGCCCTGATTGGTAGAGAAGTCAGAATACACACATTTATCTTTTAAGGTCACCACCATATATGGGCAAGATTTGTACCATCCCAAAACAACTGCAATAGTAACATCAAAGCTCACTGGTCACTTCAAGTGGGATTTATCCCAGGGATGCAAAGATGGTTCAATATTTACAAATTACTCAATGTAATATACCACAATGACTGAAGAACAAAAATCATATGGTCATCTCAATAGATGCAGAGAAAGCTTTTGACAAAACTTAGTATCTGTTTATGATAAAATTCTTCCCCAAAGTGGGTACAGAGGGAGCATACCTCAACATAATAAAGGCCATATATAAAAAGTCTACAGCTATCATTATACTCAATGGTGAAAAGCTGAAAGCATTTCCTCCAAGATCAAGAACAAAACAATGACACCCACTTTATTCAACACAATATTGGAAGTCCCAGCCATGGACAAGAAAAGAAATTAAAAAGAATCCAAATTGGAAGGGAAGAAGCAAAACTGTTACTGTTTGCAGGTGATATGAAACTATACATAGAAAACCCTAAAATGCCACTAAAAAGCTAGTAGAGCTCATCAATGAATTCAGTGAAGTCACAGGATACAAAATTAATACACAGAAATTTGTTACATTTCTTTACACTAACAAGGAAATATCAGAGAGAAATTAAGAAAACAATCCCATTTACCACTGCATCAAAAAGAATAAAATACTTAGGAATAAATACAAGGAGGTAAAAGCCCTGTAGTTGAAAACCTATAACGCTAATGAAAAAAACTGGATAAATTAAAGTGAGGGGCAGATATTCCATGTTTGCTAATTGGAAGAATTAATATTGTTAAAACAGCCACACTACCCAAAGCAATCTACAGATTCAATGCAATCAGTATCAAAATACCAAAAGTATTTTTCACAGAACTAAAATAATTATAAAATTTGTAAGGAAATCCAGACCTTAAATAGCCAAAACAATCCTGAGAGAGAATGAGCTAGAGGCATCCTGCTCCCCGATTCCAACCTGTACTGCAAAGCTACAGTAATCAGAAGAATGTGGTCCTGGCACAAAAACAGTCATGTGATCAAAGGAACAGGGCCAAGAGCCACTCAGGAATAAACTCACACACTTACGGTCAATTAATCCATGACAAAGGAGACAAGAACATGCAATGGGGAAAAGACAGTCTCTTCAGTAAGTGACGCAGGAAAAAACTGAACAGCTACATGGAAAAGGCTAAAATTAGAATAGTGTCTCATATTATATGTAAAAATAAACTAAAAATGGGTTAAAGATCTAAATGTAAGACCAGAAACTATAAAACCCCTAGAGGAACATTCAGGCAGAACACTTTTTGACATAAATTGCAACACTAATTTTTTGGATCTGTCTCGTAAAGCATGGGAAAGAAAAGCAGAAGTAAACAAATGGGACCTAATTAAATTTAAAAATTTTGCAGAGCAAAGGAAACCACTGACCAAAATGAGAAGATAATTTACTGAATGGGAGAAAATATGTGCAAACAATATGAGTAAAAAGGGGCTAATATCCAAAACAAACGGTTCATACAGTTCAATATTAAAAAAAAAAAAAAGACCCAAACAACCCGACTAAATAATGGGCAGAAGACTAGGCTTCCCTGGTAGCTCAGGCGGTAAATAATGGGCAGAAGACCTGAATAGACATTTTTCTAAAGAAGATATACAGGTGGCCAAAAGGCACATGAAAAGATGCTCAACACTGCTAATCATCAAAGAAATGCAAATCAAAACCATAATGAGATCATCCCACATGTAGCGAAATGGCTATGATCAAGACGACCACAAATATATGTCAGCAAGGATGTGGAGAAAAAGAACACTGTACACCACTGGTGGGGATGGAAGTTGGTGTAGCCACTACGGAAAACTATACAGAGGTTCCTCAGGAAATCAACAGTACAATGACCACAGGATACAGCAACTCTACTCCTGAGCATACAGGAAAAGAAAATTAGAATGTGCATTTGAAACTATACATGCACCCCAATGTTCACAGAAGCATTATTTATGATGGCCAAGATATGGAAGCAACCTAAATGTCCATCAACAGATGAATGGATAAAGAAGCTATGGTATATATACACAATGGAATACTACTCAGCCAGAAAAAGGAAATTTTACAGTTGCGACAACATGGATGTATCTAGAGAGTATTAGGATTAGTGAAAAAAGTCAGAGAAAGACAAATACTATATGTTATCACTTATATATGGAATTTAAAAAGTAAAACAAATGAATAAATATAACAAAATAGAAACAGATGCAGATATATAGTGGATAAACTAGTTGTTACCAACAGGGATAGGGAAGCAGGGAGGGACATCATAGGAAGAGAGGGTTAAGATATACAAACTACTGTGTGTAAAATAAACTACAAGGATATATTATATAGCACAAGGAATGTAGCCAGTATTTTATAATAACTTTGAATGGAGTATAACCAATAAAAATTTTGAATCACTATGTTGTGTACACCAAAATAATATAATACTGTAAATCAACTATACCTTAAAAAAAGATAACTGATCACAGATCACAATAACAAAATAATAATAATCTAAGTTTGAAATATTGTGAGAATTACCAAAATGCAACACAGAAACAAAGTGAGTAAATGCCATTGGGAAAACGCTGTCACTAGATCTGTTTGATGCAGAGTTGCCACAAACCTTCAATTTGTGAAAAATTCAGTATCTGCAAAGTACAATAAAGCAAAGTGTAATAAAACGAAGTGAGGCTGTAACTTTTTTTGTATAAGCAAAAATCTCTTCAGATTTCTTTTCGTTAGCATAAGCAGATATTAATGCAGGTCTTTCATAAAAACTAAGTGGTATAAAGTGAACTTCAGAAAGCAGGAGATACCTGTATTTCTAAAATTCCTTTTAAGCTCTTTCCAGGATAACTTCATGCCAACTATATGTATCATCCTGTCTTACATGCATCTCAGCAACTTCCCTTTAAAGAGGACATCCACTTTGAAAAGCTTATTTCCTGCCATATTTTTTTCCCTCAATGCTTCTATTCTTTTGCCATCTGCTTCACCTTCCTTTTCTACTTCTAACGTCAGTTCCTCTGAGTAGGGGATAAAATTAGGAAGAAAGAAGAGAACTAATTAACTCTCGAGAGTTATTTACAATTTACTACTATACATACTAGTTAGAAGTTATCTTATTATCCCCTCTGTTTGCTACATAAATTATACTTTTTGTCATCTTCATCCAGAGAATCCCTGATAGGTGTTTTTAGCACCTCAAATATTGTTAGGTAGACATGCTGAAAATCAAATTTAAAAATCAAATTTTGCAGTTGGGCAAATACTTCCAGTTTATAATTTAATCTAGACTTTAAATATATGTTTCAAGCCAGAAATAACATTTTTCACAATAAAGCTTGCATAGCATAGTGATTAGCTATATGCTTAATAAAAAAATCACCTTGAGTCCAAATCCACAGAAATGTACAAGAGTGAACCAAAATGTAAAGTATGGACTTTGGGTAATTATGATATATGGATTCAAGCCTATCAGTTGTAACAAATGTTAACACTATGCTGGGGGTTGTTGGTTGAAGAGGCTATATGCATGTTTGGAATCAGAAAGTACATGGGAGATCTCTGTAACTTTTTCTCAACTTTGCTCTGAACTAAAAAATTGCTTTAAAATTATTAATACAGTCTTGATTTAAAAAAATTAAGCCAATAAAAAATACTCTTGGCTTTCTCTTGTAATTTTTCAACCTGTTAAGAGACTTCTTGCTAAAACTGCTATAGACTGTAACTTGCTGATTTTACAACTCTCAAACAACAGGAAGAGGCATAAAAGAAGCTTCTTGGCTTTGTACCATTTTAGTACATTATTGCATTGTTGGCAGAGTCTCAGATACAAAGGAGAAAATCAAGATTTCTTAGGTTTTAAAAATGCTTGTGAACTTATCTGTAGAAATATGAAAAGAAGCTGTTTTTAAAACAGAGTAGGTATTTTTAAAATGAGAGTGATATGCAGAAATTAATGAAATTTCAAAGTGATTAATTCAGTTTCTTTACTTATGTATTTAAGTGTATATATTATGATTCAGGGAAGTAAAGTAGGGCATATTGTAAATTTAAATCACTTTCAGAATCTAACACATATAGGCTTCTTTATAATCATATATTCAATAAGCTGTGAACATCTGTAAGTCATCTGTGCTACTTGTCACTTGGACTAATTTTAAGTTCTAACTATTAACAGTAAAACCAGGCTTCCCTGGTGACTCAGTGGTAAAGAATCTGCCTGCCAATGTAGGAGATGTGAGTTTGATCCCTGGGTTGGGAAGATCCCCTAGAGAAGGAAATGGCAACCCACTCCAGTATTATTGCCTGGGAAATCCCATGGACAGAGGAGCCTGGTGGGCTACAGTCCATGGGGTTGCAAAGAGTTGGACACAACTTAGCAACTAAACAACAGTAAAACCATGTATTAGACCAAACTGTTCATAATCAGACACTCCTCCATTATAATGCCTCTTACCTTTTTATTCTTGGTCTTTTTCTTTTTCTTTGGTTTACTCTTAACCTGATAGGTAAGAAATACATCTATTTAATATGCAAATCAAACTGTACAATAGATTATTTTGCAAAATATATTTCCTCTAACCACTCGGAATTTTATCTTCTAAAATAGATCATAGTTTCCTCTATATTCTATGGAACATTAGTTTCATTTTAATTTCAATCTCAGTTTTCTGCTTGAGAAATCACTGATGTGTAAAGGAACAATATATAACATTAATGAGTAGGCTACTGAAAAGAGCTCAGAGGTCTTCACTTGCACATGTGCACATATGACTAACAAAGGTGTGTGTGTGTGTGTGTGTGTGTGTGTGTGTGTGTGTGTGTGTGTGCGCGCGCGCGCATGTATGACTAACAAAGGAAGAAGGCACCTTAAAAAAAAAAATCAACATATTCAGGTCCATAAGATGGAAAACTAAGCCTAGGAAGAATTTAGTCACCACGTATTAACTGCTACCACTTATCTGTAAAAAAATACATCCTGGATGACTTTAATTCTACCTCTGTGTAAACAGTATTGAAATATCCCTGTTTTCTCTTCCTTTCTCTCTCCTTCTATTCCCTACTATGCTTTCTTCTACTTTCTGCTAACCTTCCACATTCACTCCACCACTTAGGATGAAGAAACATGTTCAGAAATCTAGCATAGAGCCTGGCACATAATAAGTCTTCAATAAATGCTGTCACAAATACATGATTAAGGCAGGGAAGATTGTAGAAGAAAGTACTGGGAAAAGAGCCATTCCAATTCAAGCTCTGAATACACAGTATGATAATATAAAATAAGACTATCTGGGATGCTTTAAGAATAACACATGTAACAAACTAAAAGCCTTGATTAAGTTCTTCTAATTCAAGTATTAATGAGAGCTTATACTTCCTGGAGATCTTTAATAGATTCTGTTGAAGATTCACTGGGTATCGATGCCCCATCTTTATTCATTTCTGCTAACTGTATTTCAGGGATTGATTTCACATTTATATTGTACTCCATAAGAAGTGGACTGAGTTCTTCTTCTTCATTTTGTAACTCTTCTTCTTCAATACCTAAATATTAAAACCAAAACACTCAAAACCTGGATGCACATAATTTTAGCTTTATCACTATTTTAAATACATTTACTCCACCCGTAACACCATCCCAGGAATAAAAATAGAAGACATCTTACTCTGTTCAAGTACTAAATGAAAATAAAATGTCCATTTATTAATGACCAAATAATAATAGGTACATATACTAGCCTGAAACCAATCAGTGTGAACACAATGCTAAGATATTTTACTTTTATCTTAAGCAGACTATAGATATTAGATAATCTAGAATTCAAGTCAACCCTAAATATAAGCTTTTGAGTATCCTGACATTGACCCTGTTAACACTGCAACTAGTATTATTTTAGGGCATAAATATGAAACATAAAGAAAAGAAGGAAAAGTTTGATTTATTTTTTTCCCTTTCTTCCTTCTTTTTCATAATCAAAAGCTGTTAAAGGGTATCAGCCCCCTATTATGTAACTTCTTCCTTGACACCAGGCTCCTTGATTGTGCTCCAGAGATTCAATCTCTACACCTGCAGACTTCATTTGACTGGTCACAATTGGTTCAAACAAAAGCCATGGTGTTCCTTTCTTAAGTATAATTTTAGTTTCAGAATTTGAATTACATTTAAAAAACCAACAGTACATAAATGAAAATCAAATAATTAGCAACTCATTACCTGGCAAAAAAGGATACAGCTGAACAATGGGAAGTCAGCCAGATAAAAGCAACATAAGCTAATGGGTAGCATGAATGATCAGGTAGGGCAAGCAAGCAGCACTTCGACCTGATGACGTGTCCTTTGTGTCAAAAGCTAAAACACCCTGTTAGGGCAAACCCCAGGGCGCATGCACTAAGAGGAAGGCAGAGGAAAAAGGCTCCTACTAGGTTCAGCTGATCAGTAGGGATTTGACCATATAATTTCCCAAACTTATGGTAAACACAGTGTACTTGGCCAAGTAAAATCTACAGGTGCCCCTTGGCTGCGCAGGGCTGAAAGGTCACTGAGGCACTTGGTTTTAAGACACTTACGCTGACTGCCTGTGATCGACCGTAGAGCAATTCCTACGATGCACAGAGAGAAAGGTCAGCTGTGTAATTGCAAATGCAACCAACAAACATCAGACTGAGAATAAGAAGAACCAGGAAAGTTTTTTATATTGCACCAGTAAATATTATAACTAAAAATAACCAACTGCACTCATGAATCCAGTTTAAACAAAGTATAATTTTTAGATTAAAACATAAATCTTATGTTATAACATAAAGCTTATCTAATCCATGATTAGAGAAAGAAAAGTTAAAAAAAAATAGTTCATAATAATGTCTAGAACACCAGTACTTTAATCCAAGAAGCAAATTCTTACAATTGACAATCTAAGGTCATGAAGTAATAATATGTAACTATGAAGCAAATCTCCATTGTAAGTTTGAGCCTTTTTTAAAGCAAAATCCCAATAAGCAGCCCCCCTCCTTACCCATTAATATTTATTAAGCAACTATAATATATGAGACTGTATTAGGCTCTAGAGTTTGAAAGGTGAATAAAAAAGATAACCTTCATAGAGGTTAGTGGGGACAATGGATATTAATCAGGTACCCAAAGGAAAACTACAACTGTAGTAACTACTAGGGAAGAATTATAAGATTCTAGGAAAGCTTCTATTAAAGAGACATGACCAGTAAGCTGTTCAGACTTCCAAAGTGAGAAATGAAATGCCTTGAATTTATTGCTCAAAGCTCTTTCCCAAATATTACCTTTATTCTCATGAGTTTTTGTTATTTAAAATCTTAACAGAGTAAATGCAAAAAAGAAAAGCCTCTAATTTATAAGTTAATTTACAAGTCAAGGGTTCTTGCCTGACTTTCTTGTATCATCAAACTTAGCATTCTCTTCTTTCATGTTCAAGGACAGCTCTTAAAGGTTAAGCAGGAAAACACAATGGTATCCAGAGCCTTAGCTAAAGAACTGGGATGGGGGTCTAGCAATTATCTCTGAGGAAAATCTGGACCAGGTCAACAATTACTAGACTTGGAAAGTTGTATGTTTAAACAGCACCAGTGTAATCATCAGTTGCTCACCAGGTAGTATGACTAGTGACTTGGGACCAGGAAAATTCAGCCAGAATAGCACAGTGAGGGTGTCAGTGATGCTGACATACCTTCACCTTCACCTTCCATGACAGCTGAGAAGCTATCCTGGAATGTGGGAAGGTGCTCTGAAGTCTTTCCCATAACAGACAATGTTATCTGATTTTTAAAATTACCTATGACCAATGGAGAGCTAAACTTCTAAACTAAAAGTCACAGTTCTGATAGAAACGTAAAACATGCACTTATGGTATTTAAAAGAGCATTCTTGAAACACGTAGTACCTGTATTTCACGGTTTTAGGCATCCTTAATTTTGTAGAAGTGATAAAACTCCTCTACTTAAAAATCTTCAACAATTCCTTTATGAAAACACAAAACTCCTCAGCGTGGCAAAAGAAATCCTCTTGAATTTATTCTATGAATTCTCCCCTACATTAAACTCAGTATTGCCAAACTTTTTGTTCCTTGAATTATATTTCTATGTTTCTATACCTTTGTTCTTGTTTCCTTCTGAAACATCCTTCTCCATCTTCTTCACTTGGCTAATTTTTACATTTAAGATATTATATTCTCCGGAAAGCCTTTTGGATTCTCTTAGACTATAACTTCCCATGGTATTTTGAAAACATCTCTAGCACTGTAATTACTATTAATGTCTTGATGAGTCTATCCTCTCAAGAATGTGAGCTCACTGAATCTCCTGGCCTTAGCAGTGTGTCTGACACATAGCAGACACTCAGTGAAGGTTTACTAGTTTAGGTAAATAACTATTTTGTACCTTGTTGGTAGCAGGATAACATCCTCTGGATGATTTCTGGTACTGGTATGCCTAGGTAGATGGACAGTTGATGGTAATCAAGGGAGATATTCTCAATGGGGTTCTCCTTCACTTTGTCAATATCTTCTTTCTTCATCCCAAGGCGCAGAAGAATATCTGAAACTTTTTTCCAAATTGAATTGAATTGTGACTCAGTGAGACCATTCATCAAAATCTCACTAAGGAGGATGTCCCTGTATTTGCACAGCCTCAGGATGTCTGCAGACTTAGAGAGATCAGAAGGTGGTGGTTCCATATTCCAGCCTTTTTTGGGTGCAGGGAACACATTCAAATGTTTTATGAGAGCTAATAGGAGGTATAAGTCAAACTGTCTGGACTGTGGTAGCTCCTTGTTTGGGGGATAAAGCAGATGCCATGCTCCACCCAAAGGGTGATTGGTCCAAAGATGGTTGTAGTAGGGTTCCAGTACATTCTTGTGTATAAGAAGCTCTTTTCTCAAAAGAGGGGGTGGCAGAGCCTCATCAAATATTTGCCGAACAATGTCAGTACCAGAAACAACAATTATATGAAGCAGATGATAGAAATAATTATAATCAAGTTTGAAGATAGGCATTTCATCTGAAAATGAATTTTGAGAAGTCAAAGGTCCCACATTAACGCTCTTTTTCTCTGTGTTCGGGTATTAAATCCTAAGTTCACGTAGGACAGGCACTGTCCCAGAAGAATGAAGGACACAGTACAGAGCTGTGCCACAGCCAGCGCTCAACAGGCATGCTGCTAGCTGTCTAGCTGTCAAAAAGTCAGAACAAAGACCGCATGCTCTAAGCAAAAGAAACCACAAAACCCATCGCCATAGAAGCCTTTCAATCATTCAGGATTTGTTCAAATAAATGAGCTGTGTCCACCAAATGGCACAAAAGTATTAGGCCTTTGAGTATTTTGAAGACTGTCAAGAATGGTAACTGCCAGTGTTTAATTATATTTTATTTAGGCAATTACATTTTACCTTAATCAGCATTGTCCATAAAACTTTCTGTGATGAAAATATTTTAAATTTGTGCTGTCCACTATCCACTGAGAGTGGAAATGCTGCCTGTCTGACATAGGAACTGAGTTTGAAACTTTATCTAATTTTAACGAGTTTAAATAGCCACATATGGCTAGTGGCTACCTTATCAGAAAATGCAGAACTATATTAAACATAAAGTGATTTAATGCCTTGCTCCTCAAAGTTGCTACAGCACCTACAATTTAACAAAATCACAGATAATTCAAACATATATTAAAGTTTGAGACACACCAATCTAATGAACCTCTTACTCTTATCTTCTCAAAAAATAAACTAATGACTAAGTAGGTGTTTCATCAATGAAATGGAATAAGGCATGAGACTGAAATATTTCATCTGGTTTAGTAGCACCTCCAAAGGATGAAAGCAGACTGAGATGAATTAGAAAGTAATAAGAATTTGGTATATGATGGTATATTTTTAAACTAATAAAGTATTTATCATAAAATATAGCTTTATTATTTTATCCTTAATGAGTGTGTGTTTCAAAACATTTTTTATAAAATCTTTAAAGATTTTTAAAGATTCTTGCTTGATATACTTGACATAAACTGTGGAGGCAAGCAAGGTTACAAAGCAAACGACTCAAGGAGCTTTCTCTGGGCTGCCAAATAAGATGCTGGCTAGAATCAGGGACATCCCCAAGCAAGAAGGAATACCACCAGACTACACTTCCCTGGCGCCAGGAGACCTTAAGGTCTCCAACTGCTGAGCAGCTGGCATTTGCTAGCACACTCCTGAAGAGGTGGCACCATTTGGACTTGGAGCCCAAAATGTTCATTCTTTCCATTTCACCCTTTAAACAGGGAATGCAGCAAAAGAAGGAGAGGTTGGTAAGGAAGATCGGATGAAGCTCAATCTGTACAGCCACATTTATGCACTACCTCTCTGTAGAGGCAAGGTAATGTGATACTCATACACCTGATATTTCTGTCAGTGAATTCTAGCCTATACCAAGTGATGCTTGTTAGTATAAACCCAAGCCCATGAATGACAAACACAAATAAACATAAGGTTGTTAATGGCATGATACTTTACATAGAAAGTCAAAATTTTTAACACAGTTTTTAACAGCAGACATATGAAAATAAAATATACCTTTTGTACCAAATTTTAAACTGATCTTCGGTCTTTTATCAGTATCAGTTATTTTCAGAGACATCAACTTTTTATAGCTGCAATTGGAAAAAAATAAGTTAAAAAAGTCAATGAAGGTTTTTGGTATCAGCATGGCTAAGTCAGTGAGCACTTTCTTCTACTCCTAGAAATAATTTAAAAGCGAAGGAGAAAATTGAATGAACCAATAAAAACACCAACAATAACAACCCTACAAGGCCATTTTCATTGGAATTCAGAGGCAGGTACAATTGTTAGATTTCATACAAAAAAAATCACATGACTAGCTTGTTTACAAGAAGACTGTATGGTAGGAAAACAAATAGAAGTCTTTGCATTGTAAAAAGTCAGCAAACCCGGAACTCCTCCCACACCCTCTTCCACCACAGAATCTTCTTACCAATAACTGTTCTAAGAAAACTCATTTAATTACTGCATCCATGCTCAGTCGCTCAGTCGTGTCTGACTCTTTGCAATCCTTTGGACTGTAGCCCACCAGCTCCACTGTCCATGAGATTTTTCAGGCATGAATACTGGAATGGGTTGCCATTTCCTCCTCGATGGGATCTTCCCCAACTAGGGATCGAACTTGTGTCTCCTGCATCTCCTGCATCACTGGCAGATTCTCTACCATTGAGCCTTTGGGGAAGTCCCCCTTTTAATGACCAGTGATTAAAAGAGACACAAAGAAAGAAACTGGCATAGTGTCAATACAAATAACTAGCGAAAAATGAGAGAAAAGTAGCAAGATTTATTAAATAGACTAAACACTAAGTAAATGCTGCCATGAAACAGATGAAAAAACTTGGCACTTGAGTTCAAAAAGAACTCTCCCACAGAAAACAATACCAAAAGAAAAGCAACACTAGAATGTACACTTAGCTTAAAGGACAGAGGTGTTGGTGGTGGTTGTTACCGATTTTATCTCCAGCACCAGTATAACACTGCCAATCATCTGCTACACTGAAAACATTTTAAACACTAACAATATACAGTAACAGCAAAGATACTGAGTAAAAAAATTCTACATTGCCAGCAAGAGTGTAAGTTGGGAAAACCACTGTGGGAAACAGTTCAGCAAAATCTAGTAAAGTTGAAGATATGCATAGATGGCCTAGCAATTATACTCCTAGGAATACACTCTAGAGAATTTTTTGCACATATACACCTGGAGACATATATAACAATGTTCATCATAGAACTGTTGTTACTGTCTAAAACTGGAATTAACCCATATATCTGTCAATGATAGAACAAGTAAAGTACTATAGCTATAAATGTATCCACGGGGTTCTCCAGGCAAGAACACTGGAATGGCTTGCCATTTCCTTCTCCATGGGATCTTCCCAACTCAGGAATTGAACCCAGGTCTCCAGCATTGCAGGCAGATTCTTTACTGATTGAGCTACAGGGAAGCCCTATAGCTACAAATGAAATAGACTATTGAAATGAAAAACTGTGATAGGAAAAAAATTTCAATGTCTATTTAAAAGCATAAAAATGAGTGTTTAAATGTATATAAAGTTCAAAACAGAAAAAAAATAATACTTATAAGCAACAGTATAATGTGGAATTCAGAAAATATGTAAAAGTAAAATATATGATGCACAAAAATGGGAAGAAATCAAGACTATATTATTGTAATGCTCATACACTATACATGATGCATTATCTAAAAATATATTTTATAGGCTAAAAATGTGTATTATCACAACATTGTAAATCAACTATATTGCAATAAAATAATTTAAAAATGTGTATCATAGGTTTCAGAGCAGTCACTTAAAAAATGTAACAAAAAAACTGCTATCAGGAAACAAAACACAAGGGCAGATGGGAAAAATTGAAAACAACCAAGAAGATGACAGATTTAAATTCAGTGCAGTCAAGAATTACAGCAAATGTATGTGGAAATGATCATCTAAAGACAGACATTATCAAGCTGGATATAAAAAAAAAAAAACAACCAAGACCTATGTTATCTGTAAGAAACCCTCTTTAAAGGTAAAAATATATATGTGCTGTGTGCTAAGACACTTCAGTCATGTCTGAGTCTTTGCTACCCTATGGACTATAGCCTGCCAGGCTCCTCTATCCATGGGATTATATAAACTGAAGTAAATGGCTGCAAAAAGACATGCCACACAAATACTAACTAAAAGCTGGAATAGTCATGCAAATATCAGATAATAAACTTAAAGCAAAAATATTATCAGGGATAATCAGGGATATCCTTTTACATAAGGATAAAGCACTTAAAGCATCAAAAAAAAGAAGAAAGTAACCCTATATATGTGTGTAGTATCTAATGAAAAGAGTTTAAAACTATACAAATAGGCAATAGAAAAAGACAATATATAGACATCCAATTTCAACATTTCCCTCTTAATAATTGATAGAAAAAGTAAACAGATAATCAGTAGTGATACAGAAACACTGAAACAAAACTAATAAATCAACTTGGTATATTAATGGCACATGGTACTAAACAAAGGCAGATATAGTTCAAATGCACATGAGACACTTATCAAAATACACAATATTTAAGTGTCATAAAAGAAATCTCCACAATTTTTAAGGCTATACTGCTTGAAAATACATTCTGTGACCACAGGGAATGAGATTGGAATTCATATCTAGAAACATAATTGAAATATCACCAAATATTTGGCAATTATATGACACACATCCATAATTATATACACACACAATTAGAAGATAATCTTGAGTTGAAAAACCTAAAAACAACTTACATATTAAAATGGATGGAATATAGCAAAAGCAATGATGCTAAAGGAAAGCTGGTCTATAAGGAAAAAAAAAGTCTCAAATCAATCATGAAATCTTTCATCTTAAAAAGTTAGAAAATGTGAGAAAGCTGAACCCACAGCAAGCAGAAGCAAGGATGTATAACAAAGGTAAGAAAAGAAAACAATGAATTGAAAACAGAAAAATATTAGAGAAAATCAACGAAATCAACTGATTCTTTGAAAGGATCAACAAAATTGGTAAACTTCTAGTCATAATGATCAAGCAAAAAAAGGAACAAATTTCCAACATCAGAAATGAAAAGGGTGACATCACTGTAGAATCTACAGACATTAAAAAGGGATCATATGGAATTATAAGTAACTTTATGCAAAGATTCATAACTTGAATGAAATTGACAAATTCCTTGAAAAAGACAAAGCTCATTCAACAAAAAATAATCTTAATAGCTATGTATCTCTTACACAGAAGAACTATACAAAAAAGATTTTCATGACCCAGATAACCACAATGGTGTGATCACTCACCTAGAGTCAGACATCCTGGAATGCAAAGTCAAGTGGGACTTAGGAAGCATCACAACTAACAAAGCTAGAGGAGGTGATGGAATTCCAGTTGAGCTACATCAAATCCTAAAAGATGATGCTGTGAAAGTGTTACATGCGATATGCCAGCAGATTTGGAAAACTCAGCAGTGGCCACAGGACTGGCAAAGGGCAGTTTTCATTCCAATCCCAAAGAAAGGCAATGCCAAAGAATGCTCAAACTACTGCACAATTGCACTCATCTCACACGCTAGTAAAGTAATGCTCAAAATTCTCCAAGCCAGGCTTCAACAGTACATGAATCGTGAACTTCCAGATGTTCCAGCTGGATTTAGAAAAGGCAGAGGAACCAGAGATCAAATTACCAACATTGCTGGATCATTGAAAAAACAAGACAGTTCCAGAAAAACATCTACTTCTGCTTTTTTGAATATGCCAAAGCCTTTGACTGTGTGGATCACAACAAACTGTGGAAAATTCTGAAAGAGATGGAAATACCAGACCACCTGATCTGCCTCCTGAAAAATCTTTATGCAGGTCAAGAAGCCACAGTTAGAACTGGACATGGAACAACAGACTGGTTCCACATAGGGAAAGGAGTATGTCAAGGCTGTATATTGCCACCCTGCTTAATTAACTTATATGCAGAGTACATCATGCGAAATGCTGGGCTGGATGAAGCACAAGGTGGGATCAAGATTGCCAGGAGAAATATCAATAACCTCAGATATGTAATGGCACTACCCTTCTGGCAGAAAGTGAAGAAGAACAAAAGACCCTGTTGATGAAAGTGAAAGAGAAGAGTGAAAAAGTTGGATTAAAACTCAATATTCAGAAAACTAAGATCATGGCATCTGGTTCCATCACTTCACGGCAAATAGGTGGAGAAACAGTAGAAACAGTGACAGATTTCGTCTTCTTGGGTTCTAAAATCACTGCAGATGGTGACTGCAGCCATGAAATTAAAAGACGCTTGCTCCTTGGAAGAAAAGTTATGACCCACTTAGACAGCATACTAAAAAGCAAAGACATTACTTTGCCAACCAGGGTCCATCTAGTCAAAGCTATGGTTTCTCCAGTAGTCATGTATGGATGTGAGAGTTGGACTATAAAGAAAGCTGAGTGCTGAAGAATTGATGCTTTTGAACTGTGGTGTTGGAAAAGACTCTTGAGAGGCTCTTGGACTGCAAGAAGACCCAACCAGTCCATCGTAAGGGAAATTAGTCCTGAATATTCATTGGAAGGACTGATGCTGAAGCTGAAACTCCAATACTTTAACCACCTGATGCGAAGAACTGACTCATTTGTAAAGACCCTGATGCTGGTAAAGATTGAAGGCAGGAGAAGAAGGGGACAACAGAGGATGAGATGGCTGGATGGCATCACTGACTCAACGGACATGGGTTTGAGTAAACTTCAGGAGTTGGTGATGGACAGGGAGGCCTGGCATGCTGCAGTCCATGGGGTCGCAAAGAGTCAGATACGACTGAGTGACTGAACTGAACTGATCTCTTAAAAATTTTAATTAATATGTAAAAGAAAATTCCAGTCCAGATGGCTTCTAGGGTAAACATTCAAAACATTTACAAAACTGTTGTTTTTGTTCCGTCGCCCAGTCTCGTCGGACTCTTGCGTTGTCTGTTCGCCTCAGAAGACCAAAATACTGGAGCTTCAGCTTCAGCATCAGTCCTTCCAGTGAATATTCAGGGTTAATCTCCCATCAGATTGACTGGTTAGATTTCCTT